CCCCAAAACCCCAAAACCCCAAAACCCCTATTTCCCAATCGCTTTTGAACTATCAATTAATAATAATATTAAAACTACAGCTAATGGGGAGTAGTCAATCTCAAGATAATGAAGACCTGTGGAAGCAAAGAGAGGAGTATTATGAGACACTCTCCGGAAATCCAACCCTACAGAGCAAAACTAGCAATTTTGGGAGATATTCAACAGGCTCAATGAAGAAATTTGAGAATTCTGATGATGATCAAGGATTTTATGAGTCTTATGATTCATCTAAAAGCCACAGAAACAGGAATCAAAATACCCAGCAGAGTAGATCTTGACTTGCTTGCTGAGTGTCTGCAAAGGTTGAGTCATTATATGAAAAGCCATTTAACAGGTTTCTCAAAGACAAAAGTTGGCTAAATACCCTTATCGATGGGCTGATGGAATTCTCTAAACTTCAGCAAGGATTGAAGGAAATCGCCAATTATGTAAAATCTAATCAAGAAATCTTAAATGAAAATAAACAGAATTTTTATGATGAAATAGAACTGATCAGGATTAAGTACGAATATGGAAAATAAAGCTGCATGGAGGTACCAAGACACCTGTGAAGAACTAGATGACAACTTTGTTAGGACATTTATCGATAACAATTTTGAATGTAAGAATGATCTTGACACTTCCTGTATTCTAGATTTTGTGGAATATAAGAAACCTGAAAGAATGAGCCAAGTCTCTTCGAGCAAAGCTGATTTCAATATAGCAGACCAGTATGGTGAAGTTAGTGATAAGACTAAGGCTTTAATTTTCTGCATTAAGAAGCAAATAAATAATCAAAGCCATCCTATAAATCTTCTTAACCAAGAATTCGCGAAAGTTTTCTGTAAATGATACCAAAAACTTGTTGATAAGAAACAAGCTTCTTCTGTGAAACTAAAGAGTAAGCTTAAGGAGCTCAACCAGAGAATGGTAATCCTTTCTGGTGCAGATACTAGTTTTATCAAAAAGAATGAATCAGATGAAGCTACAAATGGTAGTATTGGGCCTAACCTTAGCCCAAAGCATAATAATATGCTAACCAGTCAAGTCATAGGAGACGTAAAACAGTTTATCAGCTTGATGTTGAAAACTACTAAAATGTTCTATCTTCCAGTTCTCCGTGGCTCAGAGTTTAGTGAACTTAGAGAAGATTTTGTAGAGGGGATTACAAACCTTATTCTCAGCAACGAAGTATATAAAATAGTATTTAGTTTCCTCCGACTAGAGTTTAGAGACCTGGAAGAGTGTCTCCGTGAGAGATACAGAGAGTTCACCCAACTGACTCCATCTGAGTGCAAAGTCGATGAGTACTTTTGATGTGATGCAACATCCCCAATTTTGAAGATCCATAAAGATATATGTCATAGCAATAATGAAGCAGTTGTTTCAGAATTAACTAGTATTAACATGGATAATCCAAATCGAATGACATTATCCCAAAGGATAAAGAAGGAACTCCCTAAAAGTTTCATTTTTCAGAGACAAGACATGCTTAAGGATGTGCCTGATACTTTTGAGGGAAAGCAAGACTCCCAGAGCTGATTTGAAATAATTGAGACTGAATATGAACACCGAAGATCAAAGTCTTTTAACAATGTAAGGAAATCCTCTACCTCAACTGCTGAGATAACTCATTCCCTTCCTAAGATCTGGGAAATAGAGAACAGGCTGAGGCAGAAGCCTTATCAAAATGCAATTTCTAAACTTAAGGAGATAAACATATGAGAAGGTCCCATGAAAAAGGTCAGACTACTAGAAAAGGTAAATACAATAATAAAGAAGGACATTGAAAAATTTTGGGAAGGGATTCCTGTTGACCCAAATCACTTAACGATTACCCATGATACCAAAATTCCTCTGTATATCTTCCTAATAATCAGGTCAAAAATCGTGAATCTAGCTGCCAATATTAAGTTCATTAACGAGTTCACAACATCTTATGTGCATGGCTCTCACCTTGGCAACAACTTAGCGCTTTATGAGAGTGCAATGACGATTGTTGCTGATAACGAGAAGAACTACATTAACAATGTAGCTGAACAGAAGAAAGTCCATAAGCAAGCTACTTCTCGATTTGGGTCGTTTGCCACTAGTATCTTCAATGAAGATCTAGACCCCTTTTTTGAATTTGAAAACCAGGGATCTTTTGTTGTTGAAAAATCCTAAAAATTATTTCTAGAAGATTAAGAATAATATTTATAGCAATAAATAATCTCAATGAGCACTTTAGGAAAAGGGGTTTTGGGGTTTTGGGGTTTTGGGGTTTTGGGGTTTTGGGG